CAGCCCTAGAGCCTCCTTTCTCCTCTGCCCTGCCTTTCCCAAGGACTGCCCGATAATGCCTCTGACCTCCTCTTCCCTTGCTCCTTCCCTAGCCTGGCAAACCTGGCTTTTCCTCCATGCCTTCCATGGCCCCACGTGCATAGCCTGTGCCTTTTCTGAAGAAAAGTGTAGAACAGGTCCTGCTTGCAGTAGCACTGGCCTTTCTGCATGACTTTCAGTAATAGCTCTGTATGTCATATCCACATATGATTTTTAAAACAATGTGTTATTGCACTCTGTCAAGGCCCAGAGAATGTCCAGCACCTCACATCATTCCAGGGATGGGCTGTGTGTCAGATAGGCCATGGAAGAGGAGCTGGGTGTCACTGCTGAGACAGGACAAAAGACACTGCAGCTTCCTCCTTGCTCACTCCCTCTCTGCCTTGGATCATTCATTTGGGGAGCGGCCAGCATCCGTGTCACCATCACCCAGGGAGAGCTCATGCTCTGAGAGTCTGAGGCCTACAGCCAACAGCATGAGAGTGCACCTGGGAGTGGACCCCCAGCCCAGCCTTGCTGTGGCCATCCCTGGTGGGCAGCCCGACTCAGCCTAACGGAAGCTCTAAGCCAGAAGTACCCAGCTAAACAACTCCTGGATTTCTTTCTGCTTATATTAAATATAAGCATATTGGTGAGCAAAGACTTTATCTGAAAAATTCAACTACAGTTTGGCTTTCCTTGTACAACCATGACTTTCTCAGAAGATATACCAGGCATGAATTTATGATTGTCTTCCAATGCTAAGTTTTGGGGTGACTTGTTATGTGGTAGTGGGTAACTGATACATATACTATAGATACCGGAAGTGGAAAGACAGTGAGCCGTGTGAGCAAGAGGCTCATCCCCTCCTTCATCTCCAGCACCCCACTTCTGAGGCCAGGGCCTGGCACATATCACTTCCCCCAGCAGCTACTTGTTCAATGAAAGATGAGGGTGTAGCCACTGCCCTTAGATGTTACCTCACAAGAGGAAGAAGTCCCATTACTGTGAAGGAGAAGAAAGAAGCCAAGACACGGCACAAGGGGCACTGTGTGCCGTTGTGTTGATTCCACCTCCAGAATCTGCGTGGAGGAAGCCATAACCCTGCAATCTTGAAGGCCGAGCCTCATGAGAGGAGCTGACAGCCACTCTCTCCTCGTGTTATCGTCTCATGGATAGTTAGTATAAATTTGAGGAATCTACCACTGAATCACCAGTGCTGTCTCTAAGTTATTAGAAAATTGAAGGCTATGGCTTTAAGAAAATTTCTTCCTTCATGGGAGAACAGGAACTGAAGGAAGTTCCTGATGAAGCTGTTAGTTATTAAATGGTGTTTTTTGCAGACTCGGGCACACTTGAGACCAGACTGATGAGACCACATAAAAACAACTAACAAACATGCTTCCAAACCCCAGGAGGATCATAGGAAAGGTTCCTCCACCTTGTCTTCAAAGTGAGGTGACCACTGCTAAGATCAAAAAAATCAAAGAAGGGGTGCTCGTAAGGTCTGGAGAGGCCAGTGGCTCAGAGACATCAAATAGACACTGAGACATCAGTGCTCAATGACTTGAAGAAAGAGGGGGAAAATATCAATCTGGGAAACATTGTTCACCTCCATATGGAGCACGGGGTTCCCCATGGCCCGCAAAGGGGGCCGACATCTCCATCTTTAGGCCTCTTTGC